CTCATTTACAATCCACACCAATCTCTGGCAAAGTCATCAGCGGCCATGGTACAGCGATGGAGCGTCACACTAGCCGGTTATTCTTACGACATTCAACATCGCAAGGCTCACTTGATTCAACACGTGAACTATTTATCGCGGTATGCCTTATCAGAGGAGCCTGGTACATCTGACTGTTTGCCGATACAACCACTTCCTGGTAGTCGGTCTGACCTAGTCCGAGAGACAAAGAAGTACTACCATGCAGTCATTCCTTGTGTTCGACACGGTTGGCGAGCTGAATCCAAGCGCCGGTTCCCAGAGTTTTATAAACGCCGTGAAGAACTCTCAGTCACTTGTGATGGAATATTACGTCTCAGTGACCGAACAATCATTCCTCCATCTTTACGCTCCGCGGTGCTAAGTGACTTGCATTCGGAACATCTCGTTTTTGAGAAGATGAAATCTCCCCGTAACCTATTTGCTGTCATTATAGTTGACCTCGTATATTTCATCCCAGTGCATCAAACATCGGTTATTTTCCCAAATAAATATGGTTGTAGCTGGTTGAGAATTGAACCGCCGAAGACGTATGTTCACCTGCGATCTGAGTGACAATAGCCTGAAATCTGCCATTCATGGGAAAAATGCAATTCACTCACATGACAAGGTTTCGACTCGAAACTGACACCCTAAGGTATAGTTGCTGTTTGCGCAACATTCGACTGAGGTTAAACCGTGACCCAGATTTAAATCGTATAATGAACGCCTGAGACGTCCTGAAGATAGAAGGAGGCATACGGGTGTGTTGATACTAGCTTACGGATTGACGCAAACCACGGGACGAGACGTTACAGTTTCCGGACAAGTGTGATGAGTCAAACTTCTCAGTTGACGCTAGCGAAGTGCCTGCGTGTCCCAGCTTCTGGACAACGAACCATAAGCCGATTGTGCCGACCAATCAGGCACCGTGCGGCCCAGACAGAAGCTGTACGACGCCAAGAATGCCAGCACGTGATTGGTAGATGTCTGGATAACCAACGAACTTCTTTTGTACATATTATCTAAACCCCGTGATTTTTTCAATAAACGAATGTTACGGTTCGCACTCGGACTAGTAATTCATACACGTATCGGATTCCACGCAGTAATAGTCCAATCCAGAACTAGGACTCGAAATGAAATCAAAAGACAGAACTCAGCGACGGAATGGAACTGTAATAAGCGTAAATTCGGCATGTACAAGGATATCGTGTCCAATAAAACAAAAGAGTTCACAGCTCATGAGCAATCAACGCATCCACCGCAGCTCGAAGGAAGCTCCGGTTTTCTGTAATCACGGCGGGCTTTGTTGAGTAATCGTTCCGATCTTCTGGGTTCTTCTAAGCCGAGTTAGCATTCCTTCTGGTGACCGCTCCCCAGGCGCTTTGTTCTGCGCCTTGACCTGCATTGTATCTCGTTCTTGTACCGTGGAGACCGGATTGGCCCACAATTTGAGGTTTGGTTTTGTACATATTTGTCTGCTTATAGCACACGTAGACTACCGACTTCTCGTTATCTGGAATCGGACTTGGGGTTCATATCTACGAGTCACTCAACCACTAGACGACAGTCCTGTGCAGTACTCAAATTTATACCATCCCGTTGCGTTGTGACGAAGGAAACGATTGAGGTTTGGATTCAATCGGACGAAGTGCAATTGGTAATCTTGGCTCGTTGCTCGGAGACGCCGAGTATCACTATTTGATCCATACGGAGCAGGACTGGAAGCAGAAAAGCACTCAAATTTTACAATCGCTCCTGGAGACTTGGTCTTCGTTGCGGACGGTCACGGTCGGACGGAATTGCCCTTGATCTCGAGCTACTTTTGCGGTAGCTGTTGATTTTGTGCGAGATTATTCGACGACGGAAGGACGCAATTAAATTTTCATAGGTGATGTGCTCCTCCGACGAGAGTACTGAACTGAAGACCCGATGCTGCTCATAATGAAGCAAGCCGGTGAGGCGGAGGACAAACCAATGACAATGAGGCAAGTCACTGATAATGCTGTTTCATGCCATGGTTCCGATTATAGTTCTAAGTTTCATGCCAGAATAGCCCGTTCAAAGTTGTTCAAGGCCCAGATTAGAGAAAGACTGTTAGAGCAAGAATTAGAGTTGGAAATTCAGGAAAATAGTGGCCCGTAGGCGACGTGAGCTGTTGCGGGCAAGGACTGAAATTGAGATGGCCAAGATAGACGTGATAGTGGAGGAGCAACAAGGAATCAAAGAGGAAGCAGATCTGAACAAACGGTCGCAGATTGACCGGGACAAAAGGCCGTGCGACCTGCCTAGGGATTCAAAGCGTTTCCCCAGTGCCAACTCGGAACTCGAAACCTTGAGGGAGCAACCACGGTCAACATCGGCCGCGGTCGTTGATTGCCCGGACCTAGCGAAAGTGGAACCAACCAGCCTCGTTGGTGATCCAAAAGATTGCCAGACCTTAATTCAACAGTCTGAGAACTTCACGCACCACATGCTTGCAGACAATCACTCAGACTTTCGAGGCCTTTTTTCTGATGCCAAATAAGAAGAGGCTTACCTCATAAATTGTAATTTTAACTCATGTTATACGGGGATAGACATAGGACACGTATGTCAATGCTTTGTTCGTATTATCTTTTGTACAAATAACGCTACGGACAATCATTGTTAACGATTCCGAAATATCAACAATTGGCTGAGCTTGTTTCACCGGTAGGGTGTTTACAGAAAATCAAATTATCACTACCCGGTGGATATATAAGTGATCATCAAGGTGAGTATAGTATGTTTTAACCAACCGTAGTTCAAATCTATCAATTTCCAAGGGAAACGATATTCTTCCAGATGATAATTCGCCCTTGAAGAGATAATTTCAGTGCTGCGACTTCGGTTTTCACATCCGTGAATGCCTCTATTTTCAAACTTTTCGTGCTTGAAAGAAGGATTAGAAGTTGGTTAGGTTGAAGAGCCCAGGATGTTCGCATTCAGACCGGGTTGACATTCTTGCAACGCAATTGTTATGAGAAACGGGTCTGTGGGAAGAAACGAATGCTCCGATGCTCGTGTCCATATAAAACGGTGTGATTCAAACCGATTAAATTAGTTAGCCCCTACATTTCAAATGACAGTACACCTATGTAGGACCTTTTTGAAATACAGTATCATATCCCATTTCGCCTGTTTGCCTCGGGCTTGGTAATTTGCTTGCGAACGTTTCATCACCAGCCGAGGTGATATCATCAGTGCTTGTGAAATGTCAGTGTTATGCTTGTACCCGTTCGCTTATATAGGTGTTCTTCTCCACCGACTGTTTTTGTCTCTTGTTCTCACTGTGTTCCACTCGGTTCATCGTTGAACTGATGCGAGGGGGCGAGAGTGAGAGGGGAGAGGGCTGTCCTTCCGCCCTGATTGCGGTTTCGGTCCGTTCTTAGGTTAGGGCGTAACCTTTTGTGGTGATCCGGGCCTCGGGATGACGCAAACCCTGGAGTGGCGCGTTACAGCTTTCGGACAAATGAGATCAATCAAACCTCACGGGCGACGTCAACAACGCGTGTACGTGTCACTGCTTCTGACTTCATACCATAGGCAGATGGTAGCAGTCAATCAGAGATCGTGCGGCCCAGGCAGAAGCAGAACGATGCCAGAAATACTGGAAGGCGATTGGTAGAAGCCCGGATAACCAATGAACCTACTTTGTACACATTATTTAATCTCCTTGTTTCTTCCAATAAACGAACTACCATTTCTGTGGCCTTTTCCTCGAGTCTCAGTCACGTGGGATATTGCGTGATAGTGCCAGTGTGGTCTAGTGCTCACGTGATCCAGTCCGTAATAGCTGATCCTTGATTCGTACTGCGTGGTTCGTGTTCCGAGTTCCGTGCGTATTACTACCATTAGTACAATCACTACAACTGGTTGGTTGGAGACACTAAAGGATATGGCAGCGACCCAGCAGCAGTGCCGTTCTTGTTGTCGTTTCTTATCAGGTCAGAATGCTTGAAACGGTATGTATGAAGAGTTCCATTGCGTACCGTGTGTTGACCATAGTGGCTCATCTTCTTCTCCCTTCCTCAAAATAGATCCAACCCCTGTCCACCTTAAATTTTATCACCAACCTCGTATGCATTGCGAGTCTGGCAGCGGTCAGTGAAGTTCGCTTCACGGTATTTCGCTGTACGACGACGATGACAAATTGGCGTATTGAGTAACTGAATCTGCAGGCCAGCCCATCTGAGATCGAGGAATGGGTGGAACGTTTTGAACTGTGTTGCAGCATTCGTGAAGGTGGCGCTCAAAACCAATCATCTCTATTCCTCACTGTAGGCGGTCGCGATCCCTATTATCTGTTGAAGATCCTGGCATTTCCTGATGCTCCAGCTAAATTACCGTACGAAGCCCTCAAATCATTGCTGCTCAACCACCTGCTGCCAACAGAGTTCCAAGTACATGAAAGAGCCAAATTCATTTCGTTGATTCGCGCTGAACATGTCTCCTGCCAAGATTTTATTCTTCAGCTGAACCAACAGGCATCACGCTGCAACTATGGCGATCGTTTGGAAGAACAATTGTGTGACCGCATAGTGGCAGGCATCAACAATCTGACTCTCCAACGAAAGCTGCTAGAGAAGAAGGATCTAACTTTTGCCGAGGCCCGCAAGATTCGTGAACAACATGATGACCTGATGGAAGCGACTTCCAGCGAAGCAGTCACACTATTTCAACGGCAGAAAACAAGACCGAACCGACCTCCGGTGGCCAAGTGTACACTGAAGCCACAGCAAGACCCTTCCGGCAACGATAGACGTATCAATCCCTATTTTTCGTGCGGAGCTTACCATCTGCGCTCCCACTACCGCCTCTGCAATGCCAAGTATCATGCGTGCGGGAAAACTGGCCATATTCGGAGTGTTGCAATCGTGCACAGTCAACAGCTGAAAATGACACAAACCTTGTTGTTCTGTCTACGACCCGAATTTCAGTGCCCAATTCCTGTACAAAGATGTGACACGACAGTCCGGCACAACGCACAAATTCATTGTTGACACGGGAAGCACGGAATCTATCATTTCTACTGCAGTACTTCGGTCAATCTATCCCGAAGCCGAAATCCGTTCAACATCTGTGCGAATCCTTGGTGTGACTGGATACAAACTCCCATTGATGGGTGAGGTTTCGCTGATGGTACATTCCACAGAAAATCGCCTTGTTCCCATTCACTTCTTAATTGCCCCAAAAACTCCATCCATACTTGACTTAACTGCCATTGGTGCATTGAACCGTTCTGTGTCGCTCCATACAAACACTACGCCCAATAAGCACACCCGTCTACAGCGCTTGACCGTGAAATGTTCCAACAATTCAGGAGGCATAAACGTGCAGCCGGTCAAATTGGAAGTTGACGGTGAGCCCATTTTCCTGAAACGACGCGTAATCCCTTATGGCCAACATGAAGGCCCTTGAGAAAATGAAGCGCGACGGCATAATCACCCGAGGCACATCCAGTGCATGGGCAATGCCAGTCATGATTGCGATCAAAATTGACGGCAAAACACCACGAATTTGTGGCGATTACCGTTTAACCCTCAATCCGAGGTTACGAAAGCGTGTGACTACCACCATGGAACCGGAGGATTTCATGAAAGCAGTGCACGGCAGCACATGCTTCTCGAAGATCGAATTGGCTGATACATACCTCTAGAATCCTCTTGCTCGAGCCTAACGGCAATTCACCACCATCAACGCACAGTAAGGATTATATCAATACAACTTCCTACCGTTCGGTCTCCGCACATCTTCGGGCATATTTCAGGTGGCTATTGACGAAGTCATTTGGGGACTCGATGGTACGTTAGCATATCAGGACGACGTCACTGTGTTTGCTACAACGAGGGCCGAGCATGACGATAGAATTATCAAATTACTGGAACGTTTCGCTCAAAAGAATGTATCGATTCTAGCCTCCAAATGCATGTTCAGTTAGCCAGGATTGGAATTCTTGGGATTCACAGGTGATGCAAAAGGCTACCGTCCTGATTCGAGTCGCTTTCGTTCATTGACTGAACTCGAATCACCGAGAGACCAACACTAACTTCGGTCAATCATGGGATATCTTCAGTACTATTCACGTTTCATCCCGAAAGCTCAACCGCTGTTCGCTGCTCAGTCAACTGCGGAATGGAAATGGACGGCCAAGTGTGAACAAATTCTGCGCGAAATCATTCAGAAAATCACGGACCGATCAGTGCTTGCCTCGTTCTCTCCCAAATTTGATTACTGACGCATAAGATGTTGGCATTGGTGCCGTGCTCGAACAGGACGGATGTCCGATTGTCTGTATCTCTCGTCTATTGAACACGGCACAACGAGGATATTCGTAGACTCAGAAATGGGCATTGGCTGTATAGTGGGCTGTCCGACGCCTGCCTAAATACCTGTTTGGACTGCGTTTCACCATTGTAATCGACCATCAAGCCCTGTAGTACCTGTTCACTCCACAAAAGTCTATTTGCAAACCGACAGCAGCGATGAAGCATTCTACCGGCTGCCTACGACTACGATATAGTGCACCGTTCAGGCAAAACAATTCCTCAAGCCGATTTTCTCTCGCGGTGGTCTAAGTTCTCGGCGGCTAAGAGGTGTCATTTCGTTGCTATTGCTGCCCCGGTATCACGACAGGAGTTGCGCCGATGTACCAAAAGATACTATGCAGAGATCATAACAGCCCTGTCAAAAGGATGGCGTCCAGATCTGAAGCGGAAGTTCGCAGCATTCTATGCACATCGTGAATAAGTCGGTATCCAATCTGACGGAATACTATGCCGCAACAATCGACTGATCACTCCACCTCCACTACGCAAGGCAGTGCTAGAAGATCTGCTCGAGGGCCACTTAGGGGTGCAGAAAATGAAGTCGTTGGCACGACAGATGTGCTGGAGGCCCTGCCTAGATGAAGATATTGGTCGAACGGCTAAGAACTGAGAAGCATGCCTACACAAGCAGAGGTAAAAACCGAAGAATTGTCACCATTGCCAGAAATATGCACGCCGACTTTTGTGGGCCATTTCTCGGCCATTACCACGCACTAGTACTCATAGATTCGTACTCAAAGTGGCCTAAAGTGTTTCTAACCAGCACACAGACTACATCGTTTGTGCTGAGGGTTTTAAGAAAGTGTTTTAGTCGAGAAGGTATTCCACAAATGTTGGCGACTGACAATGGATCTCAATTCTGCGCTGCGGAGTTGAAAACTTGGCTGGACAGTATTGGCTGTCAACATCGGCGCCACGTCATCCCTGCTCGAACGGTGCCGCAGAAAATTTGGTAAAAACGGTGACGAGTGCCATTGCCTCTGCAAGCCCAAAGATAATTTCAGAGCTGGAAATATTCCTAGATAACTTGTTGTTGCAATACTGAAATGCTGCAAATGCTACCACCGAAGAGAGCCCAGCGAAACTGTTCAAAGCCAGAAGATTACGATCCTCACTACAATGCGTGGATTCAAGTGACGTCGTGTACTTCCGAGGAAAAGATCTGAGGCCATCAAAAGGAATGATTATCCGTAAGATTGGTCAATCTATGATTGAGATCACAGACCTGACAGATGCAACAGTTCACCGACGCCACATCGATCAGATTCACTTCAATGAAACTCCCAATTCGGTTGGGGACCCTAGAGAAGAGAACCAAGAAATCCCGCCTTGTGATACGCCATTAACAACTACAGAAGATCAAGGCCCGCAGCCCCCATTCCGGGAACGTCTACCGACGAGAATCCCCAGTGGCATTCCGACGACCAATCAGAAGAGCAAGCCAAATCGACGAAGCTCTTTTGAGGCAGGAGAAATGTATTGATCCGAGCCTACAAGATGACGCGTACCCTGAACGGCTTCAGTAGTTTCCATGATTATGGAAACGACGAAAGCGTTCTGTATTTTATCAACAGTATCATATTGCACAGAAACCATTTGGTGGAATGAAAACCTGAACCCAAATTTTAATTCCGATACGTTCTTGATGTGGTACAGTTTTCGGCATAAGAAATAGTTTCACTATTTTGACCCGAATCGTGACGCGTCTCGTGAAACCGAATTATTTTTCATTTTACTTCCTTTTTTGAATATACAAAGATACAACAATTTTTCAGGAAGAGGGAAGCGGCCAATCAGAGGGCTGCCATTCAACACACAAAGGGGAAAGTCAGGCGGTGGCGGTGGAGTTCCAACACATCCCCGGGGTGATAATTTGGTGACGTTACCACCGGGCCACCATGGAAGATGATGAATCATGTGATCATTGTTCGCAGAGAAAAGACCTTACAGAACTCATTCGTGTACTCGAATAAATAACACAGCGGTACAGTGTTGCACGATTTATTTCCGGAAAAAAATCGTTCTATCTTTAGCGTCACCCCTATCCGGTACAAACGAGGGCTAGTGAGGACACTTTACGACAGTGCGAGAAAAATTTGTACTCCTGATAACATCACAGATGAAATGACACAGCTGAATAGCACTCTCCAGGACAATGGGTACCGAGTTCGTTCGTGAAAAAGTATAGCATTGCACACCCGAAGATAGAGCAATCGATATCCGTACACAAGTGTAAGATTGTCCTACA